TACTATTATCGTGCGAGTCTGTAAAAACGTATTTATTTCTTATTAAAATTTTGCATATTATTAATAAATATACACACAAATCCTAATTAATATTATGAATGATATAAATAATAATAAATTAATTTACAATTTATTTAAGTAATATTTAAAAACATATTTAAACAATTTATATATGTATTTAAAGAAATCGGTGTTTATTTAAAGCCTTTTTAATGCAATAGCTTATTTATTATCGTTATTATATCATCACATTAAGTAAAAAGATATTTGTGCAATTTTTTTTAATTAAATTTTTCTCTTCAAAACATATTATCGTTCATATCACGTTCTTTTTGTATTATCCTTATTTTAACTATCTGTTTTAAACATCTGATTTATAAAAGTCTTAAAAAGTTTCTATTTTGTTTGATAATCTTAGAGAAATTAAATATTATGAATGAAAAAAAGAAAAAAATTGAATAGTGAACAATAAAGTTTTTTTGTCGAAAGTATATATTTTTTGTAAAGAAGAAAATAAATTAATAAAAAGAAAAATAAGTAATTTTTTAAATTAAAAAAATAGTTTTCATTACGTATATCTCTTCAAAATTAATTAAAATTGTCGAAAAAATTATTAAATTTAGCGCCTAAAAGTATACATTGGAAAATTTTATTAGTGTAAATTTAGCGCCATCTATTGTTTCGGCTTGTGTCGTTTCGTTTTGCAAAAAATCGAGTTTCTCAGGGTGGCAGCACAGCCGCAAATTTTCGACTCCACTATGGAAAACGATCTGGCAACTCTACAAAAAGTTAAGAAAATGTCAGTGTTGCCAGATCGTTTTCCATAGTGAAGTCGAAAATTTGCGGCTGTGCTGCCACCCTGAGAAACTCGATTTTTTGCAAAACGAAACGACATAAGTCGAAACAATAGATGGCGCTAAATTTACACTAATAACTTTTTTCAAAGCATACTCTTAGGCGCTAAATTTAATCGTTTGTTCAACAATTTTTTATTGTATTTATTTATTTTAAAGAGATGCATGTAATGAAAACTCAAATTTTTAATTAAAAAAATTACTTATTTATTGGAAAGTTGTTGAACTCTTCGTGGTATACACGTTAAAAATACATTATTTCTATTTTTTTCTGAGAAGTCTATTCGAAAAATGTTAAGAATTTAAATTTAGTACATACTAATTAATAAAACTGCATTATCCATTCCTGATATCCATCATTAATGTGCAATGTTGATTACTTTTTATTGTTTTATTAATTAATATTCTCTATAAATCGTTATTATTAGCAAATTAATAATATAAATACAACTATTAAATATGTAACACCAATTGTTTAATACTTATAATGTAAAAACTTACATTTATTGCTTTGAAGGTTTGAATTTCATAAATACCTTTATGACTTCCATTTAAATCGCTAGAATTCACTTAAAACCTCTGAGTTGCCATTACTGTTTATATAACTGTGGTCACAAGCAAAAACTGCCTAACTTTAGAATGTCTATATATCTTGTAAAATAAAATATATAGGTATATATAAACATGTTTTTTCTATAATTATAACATAATATTAATTTAAAAAGTACTAAATATAAGTACTTTTTAAATTAATGTTATGTATTAAACAATTTTGAAAAAATAAACTTGTTTTTTTTTTTAATATTTTACTTCGAAATGTTATAATATGTCTGTTCCCGTACTCGTCAGTTTTGCAGGTTTTAGTCAGAAATAGTCAGAAAAACAACAAAATACATTGAAATTTTTGTACGGGAACGACTTATTGTAAAAACTTGCAACCCAAACGAGTACGGGAACAGACATAATAAATCATCTTGTTTGAACTATAACTATTGTAACAAATAAAATGAATTGTCTATAATGAAATCGAAGTAAAAGCGTTGAATAGAGGAATTGGAAATTGATTATTAACTTTTCAAATGATCCACTGGCATTACACGTTATTAAAACGACTTAGGTTGTTATCGCTTATAACTACAGATATATAAACAAAATAAGCGAGCCGGTTTACAAGTTTATCTTATCGTCTCACAAACACGTCAGGTAAATAAATGAGTAATTTTTAACTTTACCAGTTAATAGTTAATGTCCAGCATTAGTCGTTATTAGACTTTGGTGGCTATCAGAACATAATCGATAAAAAAGAAATTGTAAAAAACTTTCCACTACAAAATGGCAACCTATGAAGAAGTTAAAGATGTGCCTAATCATCCCGAAGTATATTTGATAGATGTAAGAAATAAAGACGAATTAGCTTCAACTGGTGCCATACCCGGCAGTATTAATATTCCACGTAATATAATTTGTTTATTTATATTTCCATAACGTAAATACAATATAATTTTGTTTTGCAATAGTACCCGATTTAGGTCAGGCCTTTGAAATGTCCGATAATGATTTCAAGACTCAATTCAATCGCGCCAAACCATCGTTAGATGCACCATTGATCTTCAGTTGTTTAAAAGGTGGCAGAGCTCAGAAAGCTACTGATATGGCTGTAGCTCAAGGCTTTAAAAAGTAAGTGACATGTTAATCTTGTACTTGAGCAAATTATATATTAATTTTTCATAATTTTCAGTGCTAAACCTTATGCTGGTTCATGGACCGAATGGGCTCAAAAGGAAGGCTTGTAAATTTGCGCATTGCTCACTTAATACTCGAAAAAATTGCTTTTAATTTATTTAAAAATAGTAAATTATTTAAAATAAACTACTGTACTCGTCGTTATACACACATTTCATGAATAAAATGCTTTGAAGATAAAATTAAAAAAAAAACTTTTAAATCTGTGTGCTTAATTAGAGAATAAAGAATCTAAAAGTATACTTCTTTGTAGTTAATGACTATTCTTATTTAAATGTTTCAAAAAAAAATAGCTAACAAAAAAAGTAACTGCACATTAAATATTCTGCTGCGTCATCTTTGTTTAGTAGATGTATACATATTTGTTAAAAAAAGAATTTGTTAAACAAATATGTATGTATGTAGTTATATACATACATAATATATGTATAAACTTTTGGTAACACAATATACAATTTAATTGGAAATCTTAGCTTTACAGCCTGTTTTATAACATTAATGAGATCTTTGATTAATTAGAACCGAAAAAAATTATATTATTTTGAGAAATATAATATTTAAAGAGACATACAGACTACAGACATATTTTTATATTATTTCTATTTTTTCTTTATATCAACCTCTTCAAGATTAAGTTTGTATGTTTTCGTTTCTGGCAATATCTGATTAACTATCTCCATATAAATATTGCGTGTTGTTATTTCATTTTAATCATATTGTCTTCAAAATTTAATAATAAGTTGTATACTTCAAAACAGTCGTAAAAATGTTGATGAATTAAGTTCATGAGCTTTAAAATAATATATTCTTTTTTTTTTTGTAACCATTGGTAATAGTAATATTACTAATGAAAGAAACACTCGGCTTTTGAAGTCGAAATACATAATTCAAATTCCCAGAAGGAATAATGGCCCTTTTACGCCCACTTTTTTGATTGTGTGTTACCAAACATGACAACAAATTATATGATTTACATGATATTTGGGATACCAATAGGTTTAACCTCGGAAAGAGCAATATCAGACATTGATTGGATTCCACGCACCTTTTCACGTACAAAGGATAAAACCAATTTTCTACACAAATAGAAATATAGAACCTGAATTTCCTTAGTTCCGGCATATTATTATATAAGGATCTAAATATCGGTTGTAGACAAATGATTAAAATAATTTTATATAAAAAAATAATATATTCTCTAATTCAAAAATCTGTTAGTCCTTAAGAAAATATTGACTATTTGATCAATCATATTTTCAAGAAAATAGGGAAAAACACATGGTTCATAATATTGTATGAAGAATTTTTTATACGTTATCGATTTTAGAATTTGTATTCTTACTGCGGTAGTGGAATGAGTTTTTTTATATTTTTAATATACACACAGTGACAGACAAACTTTAAATGTAATTTCTAAACTATACTTGTAAGTTAGGACATTTGTCAACTCAACAGAGGAAAATTGTATAAGGAGACAGGTAGTTTTTAGTGGTTACCAAAAACTGAAATCTACTAACGTTTCTGAGACACTTTCTGAAATATGAATGTTTCTGAGACGTACACAATTTCTGGAAAAGTAAGACTGTATGCTAATGATAAAAGCTACCTAATAATTAAAGCAAAAGTTTTGAGCAAGTCAATTGGAATACAGTGCCTCAGACATAAAAAGCAGCTCCTACATGAGCAATCTCTTCTTCCTTATTTTAAATAGTAGAAAGTATAAAAGAAAATTTTATATCTTTCCTCTTGCAGATTTTTTATTTTTTCCATTATCACATTCTAAAAATCTAGTATTTTTCTTTGCTTTACTCCTAAACATAAAAGTCGAAGAATATTATAGGTCATATGGACTTTTGTTTTGACATTAACGTAAATCATATAATAACGATAGAATTTACTAATTGATTCTATTTTATTTTTCGTTTTCTATAGCATTAGAAATAGTAATTTAATTCCCTATTAAATGTTTATTACGTAATATATTTTTATTAGAGACGTCTATAGTAGACAAAAGGGGAGGTAGTGCATAGTAACAACATGTTTAAATGGTGGAGCTATTTGTCAAAACACAATGTTATATTGGATACATATTGTATTGGAATAAGGACAAATATATATACTAATTACAGTACAAATAAAAAACTAAAAAAGTATGAGGAAAGTTTTTGTAAGTGTTAAACACTCGATTGCCTGAATTATATCATTAATATTTTATTAGGTTATAGATTTTTGAAACTATGTATTTTCAAATTCTGGCAACACAGGAAAATATTCCCAAATTAATTATTTAACTATTATCACTGTATATGGTTGATTATTTTAATATCGACGTGTCCTAAGAACTAGTAAATTCTTACAAACTACAAATCGGATGATACAAATTGACAATAGAAAGTAGATTACTTTTACATTACAAAAAATTTAACTAAATTTATTTTCTATTAATAAACATTACATTAACCCAAAGAGTAATCAATGTTTCCGTTTATTAATTTATTTTAATACAATATTTTAAAATCATAAACAAAGATCTCTTAGAAATGGTAACAGATGTAACATATAAATAAAACTGTTAATATGTATAAATACAAATATAATTACTTAAAATGTAAAATAATCTAAAAATAAGATCGATTCGGACCGATAATTGAAATATGTTGTTATAATGCGTGAAAATACCTTTTCCAGAGATAAATAACATTTTGAAAATTCTTATAAACCCAATACAAACGAAGAAAAAAAATCAAAAATTTCCCTAGAAAAAAATTCCCATAACAAACCTTTTTAAACTAATAATTTAAATATTTTATAACACGGAGCTCTAATGGAATAATTTTAAACAGCAAATAATGTTAGTACATTATTAGGTATTAAATTGAAAATAATACCTTATATCGTTTGAAATCTGTTAATTGCCCTAAATTTAATTAAAATTTAACCTCTTTAAGTTCACCCCAACTTTTACCAATTTTTAGTTTTACTTTAAGAGGCACATTAAGTTTAACGCAATTTTCCATAGTTATACTTAAGACTTTTGCAATTTTTTTAGCTTTATCTTCGGGAACTTCAAATATAAGTTCATCATGTAAATGTAAAACTAAGCGGACAGACTGTGGTTCTATACCTAATTTTTCTCGATATTTTATTATATTCTTTTCCATTCGTAAAATAGCACTTTTTGCTATATCAGCTGCCGATCCCTGTATAGTCGAATTAACGGCTTGACGTTCAGCTTGATCTAAAAGGAGGAGAGAGGAAGGAAATGGGAAATACGTGGGAAAGAATTGAAATTAAATTGTATGTGAAATATTATATTATAGGGCTTTTCTTAGTCTGAATTACGACAAGTTTTTTATTAGCTTTTTTCCTTTCCTAAGCTTTTAGGTAATATAAAAGAAATGGTCATCTGCAAAAAGTTGTATTTTGTGACACAAAACTCTTTGTTTTGTTTATTTTTGGCCACAAGGATAAAATGTAAATGAAAGTTATAATTATATTTCGTGACTATTTGTGACTGATTTAATAGATTAAAATTTACGTTTAAATAATTTCTTATTTATTTTTAGCACGTGAAATATTTAAGAAATACATAGTATGTTGATTTGATTGCTTGATTAGTTCATACTTATCAATTGTTTCATTTGATAACTTTTAATAACATTATATATAGCATTTTAATGTTATATTATACATACAGTGGTGGAAAAAATAATAGACACGACTTTATTTTGTGTTGAAAACAAAATTTTTTAAAAAACTACCCGTTAGAATTTGATGATATGTATCTTAAATAAAAGGTATTTAAGTCTACTTTGCTACGATATATGGAGTTTTTAAGTTTTTTTGCTCCATCATATTTTATTGGTATTTAAAAAAATTGGCATTGGAAAAAATAATAGAAACGATTCACAGTATTACACTGGGGACACAAGCTGAGATTTCTTAAATTGCGTTTTATATTTATTTTTAAAATATTTTAATTATAAATGAAATTCTTAATATAAAAGTATACTTTTTACTTTAATTTTTGTGTAAATCTTTGTTTTTTCGAAGCGTAATTGATCATATGGATCCTGACAGCTGAATCAGAGGCCCGACTTTCAAGTTTTCTTAAATAAAAAGTTCTGATAGTGAAGGAAATGACTTCTAATGGTTAAATTATGTAAAAAATTAGTTTTTGAGAAGATTTCGAGAAGAAAAAGTTTTGAATCCACTTATATATAACGACAATCCACCGATTTTTGGGCCAAATTTCGAACAATATTTCGCTATTTTGCAATTCGGCCCGTTCTTAGTGGTTAAAAAAGTTTATACCAAAGTTTATTGATGGGCTTGTGAAATAATGCGAAATAATGATCACAAAATCAAAAAAATTTTATAATTCAGTTTGATTTGTAGGTAGTTTACTGTAACGTAAGTTTAGATAAAATGCACCCTATCATATTAAAACGTCAGAAAGAATATTCTTTATAATTTTTTTCATAAAATAAACGTATTAGATCTTAAAAAAGGTAATGAAATAAAAAACATATCTTATTTTCCTAATCTAAGAACATTCTGTTTTATTTGTTGCAGTAGATCGTATTGGATCTATATACAAGTATTAATTCCCAAACAGTACTATACCTAAATTTAAAATTAATTTTCGAAATTTTTACATTTCTTGAAATTTTAGTTTTAAATTCAACTTATTTTACCTGTCCATCAAGATACTTTGATATTTAAGCCCCTTCTTAACCACCAAGAACGAGTTGTGTTGCCAAAATGTGAAATATTGCTCAAAATCGGGGCCAAAAATCGGTGGATTATTGTTATCTGTAAGCGGATTCAAAACTTCTTCGGCTCGAAATCTATTCAGGAACTATTTTTTAAGTAATTTAACAATGTTAAGTACATTCTAACACTGTTTTAACTTTTTATTTAAGAAAATTTGAAAGCCGTGGCTCCAATTCAGCCGTCAGAGCTCATATGGTCAACCAGGCGTTGAAAAAACACACGTTAACATAAAGAATCTAGGAAAAGGTATATTTTGATATTGGGAATATCATTTACAATTAAAATTTTTTAAATAAGTACAAAAACGCCGTTTAAGAAATCTTAGTTCATGTCTCCAGTGTAATACTATGAATCGTTTCTATTATTTTTTCCAATGCTAAATATTTCAAATACCAATAAAATACGATGGAGCTAAAAAACTCTAAACTCTATATATCATTAGAAAGTAGTGTTAAATACCTTTTATTTAAGATATAAAACATAAAATTCTAACAGATAATTTTTGAGAAAAATTATTTTTTACTGCAAAATAAGTTCGTTTCTATTATTTTTTCCACCACTGTATGTATATATTATACAAAATAGTTTAGTTGAAATCTAATAAAAACATTTAACTTCTTTAATTCTTTTATTAATAGGTATTATATCGCAAACATGTAAGTAAAAATTAGTTTAAAAATGAAAATCAGACTTCGGCTTTAAACATCTTGTAGCCATATTATAATTTTCAATAAAATAAAAATGTAAATATTGTAAACAAATTAAAGCCGGTTGACTATGAATATTAGAGATAAAATGAATAACGAAATAGTGTAATTTCAATGAAATATTCCCCTGACTAATTCATATTTCATATAAAATAAATATTTTCAATAATAGATTAATTTTGCAGCAATATAAGTTATCTTCTATAAAGATATAACTTTTTCTCGGTTTTAATTATTTAAATATAAAGTAGATGTTTGTAATTGTATCACTCAGCAAAAACTATTTTATGTTTAGATTTATATTAAGCCCTTTTTAATATACATATGTTTAATTCTGACATAAAAAAAGAAATGAAATGTACTTACTTTTTATTAATGCTTCCCCGCTACTAATATTTTCTAAATAACGCCTTCTGCCAGTTATAGTTTCTATGTAACCGTTATTTCTAGCAAATTTAACAACTTTTTCTGTATACGCTCTAAAAAATAAAAAACATGTTTTTTATAATTAATTCACATATATACTTATTTATTCCTAAAACACACATACCTTATACCCGGATAAGCAGCATGGAATTGTTCGGATACAAGTTTAGCTTCTTGTTCGGTACATTTAAGACCTTCAGCTAATGCACGCATACCCATGCCATAAACAATGCCATAACATATTTGTTTTGTGCCATTTCGCAATTGTTCTGTAACACTACTTTCGGAGATTTTATTCCATCTTGCTGCTATTGCTACAAAAACATCCTTTTCAGATTTCATAACATGCAATAGAGCAGAATCTTGTGATAAATGTGCCAGTATACGCATTTCCAATTGACAAAAATCCGATGATATTAAACAACGTTTTGGATCTGAGGGGAAGAACGCACTACGACATGATATTGTGATTTTTTCTGAACCTAATTCAACATCAAAATCTTTTGCAACATTTTGTAAGTTTGGTTCTGTCATAGAAATACGACCCGTAGATGTAAAAGTAATACTTTGTCCATGGATTCTGTGAGAAAAATATAACATAAAGAATATTAATTCTATTACAGATAGAAAAACTAACCTTTCATCTTTTACACATTTTAGCAGGGGTTGTATGTTCTTTGTTAACGTAACACTTAATTTACGATATGTAATTATCATTTGCGATATAGGTGAGTCGATTTTTTCTAGAATCTGTTTAGAAGTACTTATGCGCCCATTTGATTTACGATGTAAACCTACAACCTATAATAACATTTTTAATAAAATTTTATTTAAAAATTATTTTAGCCTTACTCGTGCTACAGCTGAAGACGAGCCTAAATTGAATCTTGATCCATGCATTTCATATATTTTAGTTTCCAATTTCTTCATAGAATCAACCATTTGCTGAAACAATTTATGCAAAGCTTCTGAACTGGTGGGAAAGCCCACATCTTCCATATTGCATAATGACATCTGTAAGGGCATTTCGAGTTCTAAATGAAAATAAAACTTTTAACAATAATTTTAACTTTGAATGTCACAATATTCTACCTGTAAAAAATTTTTGTAATTGTCCCGTACCGATTCGCTCTAGATTTTCTATTTGTCCTTTTAAAATGTGTATTATAACACAGGATTCTATGGATGATCTAAAGCGAAAAAATCATGAAAATATGATGTGAAAACCCAAACTAAAAGACAGTTAGCTGATGCATTACCTAACCTTAGCTAATATAGCACTATCCGAATCCAAACCATAGCTATTATAACCACGACCACTGCCACATAAATTAACTAAAGATGAACATTCTGGAGCAAATTGTTGAGCCTATAATGGAATAAAATTTAGTTTAGTAGATATTTCAGCAACTATTTACCACTAACATACCAAAGAATGTAAATTATGATTTTTATCAGGTTGCAAAAGCCAATTAGCCACTTTTGGGTCTTCTAAAGCTATTGCAATATTTCCAATATCATTTAAAATTTTACGTAATATCTTCATTTGTTCTTTAGCATCGTAGATAAGTAAAGTAAGTTCCGTAGTTCTTAGCAACATACGTAAATATTTGCACTTAATTTCTCCTGTTAGTCCTTTGCAAGATCCCTCCTGTTGCATGTTCATGTAATACACAACATTTTCTGATATGCAAAATCCTATACCAGCCAAATAATTTGTATCGTCAAGTTGAAATTCATATGATTTTGTGGGCTCATTTTCTTTTTCTGTAGCAGCCACTTGATTTAGTAAAAGATTTGCTCCTATTAGAGGTTTACGTTTGCCACATTGTTGTTGGATGCCTAAACAAAATCCCAAACGTTTACATGCCATGAATTCCTTAAATGCTCCCTTAAAAAGCTGCTGATCTCCGCAAATATCTATAATATCAAGAGATTTGAATGAAGATGATTCGGTATCAACTTTTGAGCACATAAGAATGTGTGAGGCATTAAGTTGTATAGGATTTTTAATAAGAGAATTTTCCATGGAAAGATCGGAAAACTCTATGCTAGTGGATGAGGGAGGTTCTGAAGGCCGCTCGTCTGTTTGCAATTTTTTAAACTTCGAATTTTCTGTAGATGGTTTAGTTTTCGGACTTTGAATTTTTTGTGTGGCACGTAAAGATCTTAGAAATCGTGAAGCATGAGGGGAATTTGTTTTATTGGCTGGCACGTCTTCAATTAGTTGTTGTGAACTTGGAATTTCATCTTCTGGTGAATTATTGCTGTATTCCGGTATAGGTCTTTTAAAATTATCTGCTTCTTTTAGAGCTTCTTTTATACCAGTATTGATGGTAAAAGATTCTTCATTTTCATTTCCAAAAATGTCATTCTCTGGACTTTTTATAGTTGTTTTAGACTTTGTTATAGTTGTCAGTTCCTCACCTATCCTGGTAGAGCTTATTAAATGGTTACGGGGACTTCTTCTAGGTAATTTTGGTGTTTCCTGTTTTTCTTTGTTTATTGCTTTAGGAGTATTTGGTGAATTCTTATTAATATTTTGAAGTTTTCTGTTGTTATTTTGAGTTTGCAGGGCAGTTTTTGGAGTAGAGTTATCTACATTTTTATCAAGAGTATTAGATGTTGTTGATGATTTAGTTTCTGGTGTATTTGCTAATTGATTTTGCTCTAGATCTTTTCTTTTTGCCCATTCTTGTTTCTTCATCTCAGACAGTTGTTTGGCTCTTAACAATCTTTGGGCTTTTTGACTAGTGCTAGGTTTCTCATCAGTCTCAATGGGTTTTTTGTTGTTTGTTTGTACCGAAGTTTTTATAACATTAGGAGGAGTAACAGCTAAATCTTTTAGTTGATCCGATGATTTTCGCGATTCTGTTGAGGTTATAACAGCTGCTTTAATGGAATTTATTTTTGTTTGGACTTCCAATGATTCTATTTTAGCGTCTGCTTCCTTTTTCGCTATTTTGGGTGGTGTAACATCAACATTTTGTTTAGGATTTTCAGAAGATTTGCGTTTTTCAACTGTAACGGTTAGTTTTCCATTTTTTATATTTTCTTTGTGAATTATTTCTTTATTGTTTTTTGCATTATTCTCTACGTTCTCTATCACATTTAGGAACTTGGAATCATCTTCAAATGTAATATTATTTTCTTTCTGATTAATATTTGGAGATTGTTTTATTTTCTTAACACTTTTCTGTTTAAATGGTTTAGCTGTACAAATATCATCTTCGAATAGCATGTGAATATCGTTGGGATGAATATTTTCTTTTTGTTTTCTTTGTTCTATTGAATTTATATTCTTATTGTTATGCACATTCTGTTCTCCATGCTTTGTTTGTAACTTATTGTCTATGTTGTCCTTCTTTTCTAAAGATTCTAATGGATTTTGTATATCTTTAACATATTTAATGTCTTCAGTGATTTTATCATTTTCATGATCCTTGGCTTCATCACTAGTTTGATCCAAATTATATTTAACCATTACATTCTGAAATTTGTTTTCTTCGAAAGACATGTGCAATTCATTTTCTTTAATATTGTCTTCTTTATTATCTTCACAAACACTTTGAGACCACTTAATATTACCCACACCTATTTCATATTGAACGAATTGTCTAGCCTCTTGGACAAGTAATTTTGCAGCTTCAGCTACTGTGAGACCTGCTTTACCAGTTATAAAAAAATGTCTTGCTTTATTGCGTTGAGCAGCCTCAAAATCATTTTCATTGTCATGTTTTTTAGCAGAATCGAAACTAAAAGCATTATAAAGAATTTTCTCAATACTCAATATGTCGGCGCTGGCCAATTCAACCAATGATGTAACTCCAGCATCGAAGAGTGCTCTAGCTCTTTTATGTGTCAGATCTGGTAGGCGCATTAAATCTATTAAATCTCGATGTATACCAAAATACAAACGTTCTTTAAATTGTGAGACGATCAATGAGAGTGTATCCCACTGCAAGGAATTGCAAAACGATGTTACAATACCAGCAAAAGTTGAGGACATTTGTTGCAAACTTTGCAACATTCCTCGTGTACATTTATATTTGATGGCCACTTTATTTATAGGAGTTTCGTTAACCAACTCTTGCAAAGCCAGTGCAGTATAAAATCTATCGTTTTTTTATTGTAATTATTATGAAACATTTATACATTAAAAAAACTAACCTTTTGTGTATTTGCATTAACTTGTAGTCCAGTTTGGTTTGACCCCTCATGGCTCTTACCAAAAACGATTCTTTTACTCCTACCAGCTCTCCGACTTTTTTCATGGCCGGTGTTAATTTCTCCCAGAGATCGAGAAATAGAAGCCAATCCAAATTCTGTAATTGATAGCATACCGAATAAGGAGTAACCAAATAAACAGCATGCAATTCAGATTCTAATACAAAACAACGTCTTGATTTTTGCAATTCTGCAAATAATATTAAACCGTCGGTTGGGGGCATAGATGAAGCTAAAACAAATAATTACATTTTACAGATATATTTTAAAGTATATTTATTTCACTTGTGCTTTACCTAAACAAGCATGACCAAGTCGAGTGGCTACATAATGTTCTTCTTGAGTTTCCTCATTCTTTTGTAAACGAATAAACTCATACTCGATAAGAAAATCTAAAGCTCCCCCAATGTATTCGCTATCACTGCATTCATCTTGACTTTGTTCTTTTTCTTGAGTTGCTAATTGCTTTTGAGCACTCAATAGTGTACAATTTACAAAATTATCAATATCTTCCTTGCTAGTAGCAACACCTGAAGAGATAACTTCTAACAAGGCACGCTTGAGATGTGTCTATATAATTAATAATAAAATCCTTCTTCACAATTAAAATAAAACAAAATAAATATATGTTACTAGGCTTACACTACTGTCGTGGTCTAGACAGGAGGATATGGGCCTTAAATCAGCCGTTATTAACTCTTTGCCCACACGTGCATTACTGTCAGTACAAATTAAAATAGATTCTCCCAATATATCCTATAATGAAACAAATTAATAGTAAGTGTAAAAAATAAAAAAAAAAACAAAGAAATACTTTTCCAGTTCTTCCAGCTCGTCCAATCATTTGGCGATATGTAAGAGAACTCATTTGTTTGCCACCAAACAAGGGGGATCTAATTAAAACACGGCGTGCTGGTAAATTAACACCTTAAAACATTTAAATTAGCATACATTGTTTGCACTTTAATATACAAAACTTACCAGAACTTAAAGTGCTGGTAGCTACAATAACTTTTAAAGCGCCAGATTTAAAACTAGCTTCCACAATATCCCTTTCTTCTGTTGTTAAGCCAGCATGATGAAAGGAGCAACCATAGGTTATGCATTTGTCCAAAACTGCATCCAAACCTAAATATACACCATTATCACTTTGTTTATCACGTATTAAATGCACTGTTTACCAGTTGGTATATCCCTTAATTGTTCCTTAACATTATTAATAGCTTGACGATTTATTTGAGCTCGTAGTTTAGTACCCCATTCTCCACCTTGTTTTCCCAATGAATGTATAGCGCCAGCTAATTGTGTGGCTAAGTTCTCACACCAATCTTTTGAGGGGCAAAATACAATAACTGAACAGCCATCTACTAAAGTTTCTATACACAATTGTGCCACATGATCCGAATCATTTTGTAATTCCGGAAATGGTTCTTTGATATTGACTGTGGGCTCAGTAACAGAACGCAATATTTTCAAATGATTATCAAAGATTTTATTACCAATTTTAATCATTTCTTGCAATGCCACTGGACGAAAGTCGGTTATATATAATTCAGCATCTAACCACGTTTTCAATAGTTCTACATTGGCCAATGTGGCAGACATGGTAATCACTTGAATTTGCAAACCATATTTACGTGACATATACAAAATTTTAGCCAGTAGTAATTCCAAAATATAACCTCTTCCAGGATCTGATATTAAATGTACTTCATCGACTACAACAGTGCCGATTTCATTTAATTTTCCCTGTTCTAATAATTTATTGACAATTGAATTGGCTTTTTCTATCGTACATATGGCCACATTAATGCTATCAAATCCTCCCGGTGGGGTATAACCACCAAAAAATCCTTCTACGCGATAGCCAGCCGCTGTTAATAAATCTTGCAAATAAAACATTTTTTCACGTACAACAGAAATAAATGGTAAAATGAGTAAAACTTTTTTACTGCGTTCCAGAACAGTTTTTAAAAGTAAAATTTCACTAACCAACGTTTTGCCGGCCGAAGTAGGAGCGGAATATACAAGATTACAATGCTCAAAAAGAACCTAAAACAAGTAAGAAAGTATAGTCGGGCGTGGCCGACCATATGATACCCTACACCAGTTATGAATATTAAATGTGATTTATTTTTCATAATAAAGCATTTATCTTCAATATTCCCTTGTTCCGATACATTTAAGCAATTTATGGATGAAAAACTAATTTTCTGAAAGAGGCTTTATATGGGTTCTAGGGGCAAATATGGACCAAGCCCGATAAAATTTTGTGAATATATTTATATTTACATAATATTTTATTGTGCTGAATTTTATTGCGATATTTGTGTTTATAAGTTAATTTGGGACATTCAAGTAATTTTCTGAAGGGGACTTTGTATGGGAGCTAGGGTCAAATGGGGCCCGATCTTTATGAAATTTGGCAGGGTCATCAAGACTTCTATAAAACTTAGTTGTGCCGTATTTTATCGATATATCTGTATATTTGACATAATTATGAGCTCAGAAGCCCTTTTCGGGGGGTTCTGTTCTATGGGGGCTAGGTGAAATAATGGACCGATTTTAACCATTTTCAATAGGCTTCGTCCTTGGGTCAAATAAAACGTGCGTGCCAAATTTCATCCAATTATCTTGAAAATTGCGACCTGTAGCTTGCGCACAAGGTTTACATGGACAGCCAGCCAGCCAGCCAGCCAGCCAGACGGACGGACGGACGGACGGACGGACATAGCTTAATCGACTCAGAAAACGATTCTAAGCCGATTGGTATACTTTAAGGTGGGTCTAGGACGAATATTTTTGTATGTTACAAACATCAGCACAAATCCAATATACCCTCCCCACTAAAGTGGTGTAGGGTATAAAAAGAGAATGTTTCCATGTTGATAATAGTTATAATCAAAATGATTTCAGATTTATTTTTAAATTGAATTAGATTTGTATTTAATAAACTTTAGCAGTTTTATACAAAACTTCTATTGAAAAAATTTTACTGCTCACAGATCTACTTTTTTAATTAGACGCTTATATATGATATAAAAAAACTAGAAAAAATACAATCGTTATTGTCTATGTTGTTTGTATGCATAAGAACTAAATCTTTTGGAAAGATTTGGATTACATATAGGAGATGAATATATGATTATAAGATTATTAACGATTTTAAATGAATTATAATTTCGAATACATAGGTATATTATAGTAATTGTATACTTACTTTTGGATTACTTAGACACTGTATTTGCCAGTCAAACATTTTCTTAACACCTTTTCGTTCATACTCTGTTAAAACGCTCAAAGGTAAGTTCCACGCTTTAATACTTTTTAATGCTTCTAAATTATCGGTGGGAATTTCCATTGCTTTTGTTTTTTCAATAACTTTCGAATTATTTTTTACAATCTCCTTACATTTTTCTGCTGAATTCTTAACAACTCTCTTAGGCTTAGAGGTATTATCTATCACTTCATGTTTTGTTTTTATGTTAGGGTCAGAAGGAGAACACTCCTGAGTAAATTTCAATTGATCTGGAGACATACAGCTTAAGCTTATATTCCGTTCTGATACAATGTCTTGTGGATGTTGGGATTCCTTAAAAATTCGATGACTAATTTCCAATTCTTTACTTACAAGTTGTTCTCTTAACATATCATTATCTTTGGGAGGACAAATAAAACTGCTGATTTCATGCGTCATTTCTGGCGGTTCATCAATGTGTTCATCAGTTTTATTTGTTGCAGACAGTGGTAATGAATCTTGCCATATATTGTTATCTTCTTCGGTTTCTAGCAGATCTTTTAAGTCTTCAGAAAATATGGGTTTTTCAAAGGAGTTTTCAATATCATTATCAGTATCATCTCTTTCAGCATCTATTATATTGTCCATATCATTAAAGACTGCTTCTATTTGGGATACTCTTAATACGGAAGTATTTTTATTCTCTGTATGATGTTTGGGTTTTTCTTCGGTGATATCTTGTTGAAATGAAAAATCACTTCGAAAAAATTCCGAATAATTATCTGCACCATTTGCAGATGCTTTGGGTAATGTAGAGTCAGATTTGCTTCTTCTGAATTTGCGATGTGTGGAATCTCCAGCTTTATGGCTTTGGGTGGCAGTTTGTACGAAACGAGATTTATTTCTACTTAATGATTTATTTGCAGGTTTTGTTGCTGTTGGTGATTCCAAGATGACATCTAAAGCTTTATCTTCGTCCTGTATGGCATGATTCACTTCACTTTCCAGCTTCATAAAAGTACTATTACCAAATTCAAATGACTGGGAAAACGTCATTTTTACGTTTGATTGTTTATTACTTAATAAATAATTTATAGAAAAATCAATAAATAATAAAAATTTTTAACAAAAAGACAACAAATATATCACGGCGTTTTGAAATATAGCGCGAGCCGATATTGCCAGTGTTGTTCACTTTAAAATATAATTGTCAAAATGAGCGTTTTACTGTAACAAATTGACAGCAAAATCGCATTTTGCTGACAATTCGATAATACAGTTTTATTTGTAAACAAAACCAGCTGTCAGTAATATCATTCATTTATTTATTTACTTTTATTTTGAGCAACAATTTAAACGTTTGTTTAATTTAGTTAAAAGTAAAATGGAAGAATTTAAAAAGCCTGGTTTACCTATTGCTCCAATCAAAGTGGAAAATTCTAAAGCGCCTGCAAAGAAACCTAAAGAAATTCCTGAAAAACATATTGAAAGTAGTGCTGGAGAAACAACGAAACCACAAGTCCAAACACAATTATGTCCTTACAAAATACCACAGTGGTCAGACAAACCTAGTATTGAAAATAACTATAGTTTTGAAGTCTTAAAGTCTGGACAAATTATCGATGAAATAAAAGAATTACAAAATAAGGCTTTCTGGACTTTTGGTAGATTACCGGAAAATGATATAGAAATGGCGCATCCCACTATATCTAGATTTCATGCAATTCTACAATATAGACCAAAATCAAAACCAGCTGAAAATTTAAATCATGACGAGGAAGGGTATATGGATAAATCAGAAAACAATGTTGAAGACAAAAGCCCTCCAGAGGGTTGGTATATATACGATTTGGGTAGTACCCATGGTACCTTTTTAAATAAACAAAGAGTGCCAGCCAAAGTTTATATACGTGTAAGGGTTGGCCATATGCTGCGATTGGGAGCCAGCACTAGATCATACATTTTACAAGGTCCTTCTGAAGACGAAGAGCCCGAGTCAGAGTTATCTATCACAGAGATTAAAGCGAAGCGCCAGCAGGAGTTGGAGCAAGCCGCTTTAGAAAAGAAACGTTTAGCTGACGAAGCCATAGAGAGGGCCAATAATGAAGGTTGCAGTTGGGGTATGGGAGAAGATGCTGATGAAGAAACCGATTTAACTCACAATCCTTATGCCAGCTCAAACAATGAAGAACTTTTTCTGGACGATCCCAAGAAAACATTACGAGGTTATTTTGAAAGAGAAGGTCTAGAATTAGTATATAAATGTGATGAAATGTCTGCTGGTTCATTTGTGTGTCGTGTTGAATTGCCCATTGATGATGCCAATGGTCGTCCCATTGTAGCAGAAGTTGTTCACAAGGGCAAAAAGAAAGATTGTGTTGTACAATGTGCTTTAGAAGCTTGTCGTCATTTAGATCGCCATGGTGTTTTAAGGCAAGCAAATCAAGAGCCTTTAAAGAGAAAACAAAAGTCTCAAGACTCCGGTTCGGATGATGATGAATTTTGGGATCGTACTGGTGATGTTGCTAGGAAGAAGCAAAGAAAAGCTAATGCTAATATTAGTGTTACTTTAACCTATGAAGATTTGGTAAGTGTATTTTATATACATAGATGTGTTCAATTGTTTTTAAATTAGAATCTTCTACAAATCTAATAAATGTATTTGATGAAATAAAGTAACAACATAAAGGAATTATTAAAATGTACACTTTTTTGTGATTTTTCTTATTATAGCTCAAACAAGAAAATGAAATCGAAGAGCAAACAAAGCAAATCGAATCGAAAATACAAGAATATCAGGCACAACAACAACGATTAAAGGCAAAGGAATTGGAAGATGGGGAGGATTTAGATGCATTTATGAAAAATTTACAAGGAAATGAAATGCAATTGGACAAAACTGAAATTCGTAAACTGAGAGTAAATAGTAATAAATCCTGATATCTATATTTTTGCTTAAACAATGTTTTTATTTTATAGCTTGAAGAACAACGCTTAAAATCTGAAAAACAAAGAGTACAACGGCTTATTAAAATTGCTAAACCCATTGATTTGCCGTTTGGCAAACCAAGCTCAGATGATAAACAATCTGAAGCAAACGAAAAGTCAACAATTAAGAAACAATTACCAATGATTGGTAAACGTAATCAATTTAGTAAATTCAAAATTGTTAAAGTAGAATCAACATCCATCAAATCTAAACCCTCAAACCCTGCCAAATTTCTTGACTCCGATGAAGAAGAAACAGAAGATGTTGACGAACCAGTTGAAAATATATTTAAGGAAAGTAATTTTATTAATGGCGACGTATTAGACAAAGTCAAAGTCCCAACAAATGAAAGTAACTGTAACACGGCAGAAGATGCAAAAGAAATTACTTCTAAAATAACAAATCATGAAGAGGTAAAAGACATTGCTTTAGCAGTTCCAGTCAATGAAAATGAAGCAGAGAAAACTTTAAAATCAGCTAGTGATTATAAAGGTAATGAAATTAAAGAACAAAATGTTGAGAGTTCACAGCATATGCCGGAAACTGTAGAATGTAATAGCACAGAATCTGGCAATAGTAGTAAAAAACGTCGCCATCGTATACGTCAGCGTGGTAAACGTCAAGAAGTTGATATGATGGAGGATGATGTAGAATATGAATCATCTGATAAATATGCCAAATGGGTGCCACCAGAAAATCAAACCGGTGATGGCTTTACTGAATTAAATAAAAAATTTGGATATTAATAAAATGGACTACAAACATTTAACATAATGACTATATATGTACGTATTTTTAAGTATTTTAAAAAATGTCTCAATAAAAAGAACAGAAAGTTAATTAAAAAAAATTAAATTATATATTAAAATGTGTTACATTGAACGGCATAAACGCATCATATCTTCGCTATTGTCGGGTAGATTATAAATATCATTTCCGTTTTTAATAAAATGTAGATGTCAAAAATAATTTTACTTATCTAAATAAAATTTTATTTCAATCAGCTATAAACGAAATTATTCCATAAAAGGCTAGTAATTGTAAATAACAATAATTGATATTCACTTTTTACGCTCATATTTAAATTCATATACTGGAGCTGCATTTTTGGTGCCACGTTGTTTTCTTTTGGGCTTCAACAAACGAGGCTGTTGAAGGGCACGCTTTATTTCTAATTTTTGTTGGACCACTGCCAGCTCCTTCTCACGTTCAATGCGTTTAGTAAGCTCCTGATAGGCTTGTTGTTTCAACAAGTTTGCCTTTTTGATTTCCTGCAAAAAATGTATGAAAATGAAGTTAGGTACAACAAAAACAAAAAATGCTTACCTCAGGACTTAATTCAGGAATATGTAATTTTTCTAAATCTTTTAATCTTGGTCTATTAGTTTTTCTATCCAACATGCTGGGGTGAGTTTCTAAACGTTCAGCTAATTCCATATCACTCAACTCCTTGCCCTTAAGCACCACATCTTCCTCGTCCTCGGATACAGCGTCTTTAAATTTTTCGTCAAAAAACAAATGTTTATTTGGCACTGTATTAGCAAAGTCTATCATATGGAGCTGTGACTGCAACCGTTTTATTTTCTTTGCCTCCATAGTACGCTTCATTGTTACGTACTTTATATCTTGTGTCTCCATCAAGGCCAATTGCTCCTTGCTGTGTTCATCTTTTTCCTCCTCTTCATGATGCTCTCCATCATGCAACTTGGAACGTATCATATGATGATAGAACTCATCGGGATTCTTGTTGAGGGCTCGTTTATGCAAAATTTGCAAAGTTTTGGCTTTCCGTTCAGCATCGCGAGCTCTTTTGCGATAGTCTTTTTTCTTTTCTAATAAACCCAAATGTTGCCGCGATTCTGGCTGATGTCTTTCCCTGTGTACCTTCTGATTGCTTTTGGAAGCTTTCTTCCAAGACGACATTTTTATGTAATTTTGTGTTTATAACAATTTTTTTAATAAATAAATTATTACACTTTACTATTTTAGAGTAGAATAAACAATAAACAAATAATTTTAAAGCACATGTGTATTAAGGCGAATTAAAATGATGTTCTGTAAATACGCCTTGTGCTGCCAGATCAATAATAAAAAAAGTCCTAAAAAATATTTTTAAATTAAACTGGATTAAAATGAAATACATGTGAGTGTTCGTTATAATGCCAAGGAAACAATATATAATAATGAATAGTTTTTATGCCTAAGGCGTCAAATCCAGCTGATATTTTAATATTTTTCAAGTTTTCATAAATTTTTCCAAATTTTTTACATGAAAAACAGTTTTGATTTCTAATTTTACAATTACAATAGGGTGATGATCTTTTCAAAGTAAATTATAATTGAACCACAAATAATTTGTTTAAATTTTTAATGTCCATTTGTTTTGTGTTCAAACATCCTTAAAACTGTCCAATAATGCCAATTTTGAACATTATTGAATATTGAACAATTTCGCGTTTTCAGCTTACATACTATTTTTACACAAATTTATGTATCATTCAATTCTATTTTATGTATTACTGAAAATTATTATTATTATTGAAAATTTGTCAAAATAATTGTTTGATATGTATGACCTATTAGAAGTAGTGTCTTCTATAGGCCTGAAATCTTGAAAATTCAGTTGTTCCAGATCTTATATTACAAAAGTTATTATGAATTAAATTCAATTTTAAAGAAATTAAACCTTTTTAATAAAATCTCATATACATTAATTTTTTAATCATAAATAAATCTTATTAATTATTACCAACTTGCAGCATAGTTATTTGAGTTTTTTTTGTTCATGTGGCAACTTTTATTTCAAAAGAATAAGAACAAGAAGAAGAAATAAAAACAAATCAAAATACACGTGCATTTCTTACTTGATTAGTGCTTTAATATTTCAAGAAGTATTTTTATAATTTTAAAAGTATTTGATTTTTTTAAATAATAATTAAATAATAAAATAATCACAAAATGGTTAAAAAGAAGATTGATAATCGTATCAGAGTTATGATTGAAAATGGTGTAAAGTTAGGACATCGTACCATGTTTATAATAATTGGTGATAAGGGCAGAGATCAAGTGCCCATACTATATGATATTTTAACGAAATCCACCGTCAAAGCCCGTCCAAGCGTTTTATGGTGTTATAAGAACAAAGATGAAGCTATATCCAAGTAAGTTAATCATATAATTAAAGAGGAAGTAGAAATAATAAACAATTTATTTCAGTCATGGTAAAAAGCGTGCTAAGAAAATAGCTGCCGGAAAGATTGACATCAATGATGCAGATCTATTCGATACTTTCCGTGTCTCTACCACAATACATGGTCGTTACTATTCGGAAACCCATGCCATATTGGGTAGAACTTATGGCGTTTGTGTTTTGCAAGATTTTGAAGCTTTGACACCGAATCTTTTGGCCCGTACTGTGGAAACTGTTGAGGGTGGCGGTCTCATTATATTGCTACTTAAAACTTTAACATCACTTAAACAATTATTTACAATGAGTATGGATGTCCATAAACGTTTTCGTACTGAATCCCATCAAACTGTTACTTGTCGTTTTAATGAACGGCTCATTCTTTCGTTGGCCGATTGTAAGAGATGCCTGGTTGTAAATGATGACTTAACCGTACTTCCCTTAAGTTCGAAAACTATTAACGTGGAACCAGTGAATGTAAGTAAATATTTATGTATATTCCAAACATTAAAGTAAGGATAACTAAAATTTGTTCATAATCTGAATTTCGCCATTAAGTTTTAATTATGCTTATATTTTGTTATTTTGGTTTTTAGCCTGCCGATATTCATAAATCGGAAAATAATGAATTATTGGTTGAAATTAAAGAAAATCTAAGAGATACACCTCCAGCGGGTCCTTTGGTAAATCTTTGCAAAACATATGATCAGGCTAAGGCGGTAGCACAATTTATTGAAGCTCTTGCTGAAAAACAATTGAAGTAAGTATTTTCACAGTACCTTTAACAAATACATCACATTATGGGGGAGTTTGTTTTTGGTTATGTTCACCCTAAATGCAAAAATAAATATTTTTTCTTCATCTTTCAGACCACCTACATCATTGACAGCAGCTCGTGGTCGTGGTAAATCTGCCGCTATGGGACTTTCAATTGCTGCAGCCATTGCTTTTGGTTATGTTAATGTTTATGTAACTTCTCCACATCCCGAGAATTTAATAACATTATTTGAATTTGTATTAAAAGGATTTGATGCTTTAGAATATCAAGAGCATACAGATTATACAATCATACGCTCTACAAATCCAGATTACAAAAAAGCTATTATACGCATTAATATAACACGTTCAAATCGTCAAACTATTCAATATATTGCTCCAAATGACACACACTTATTGAATGCTGCGGATTTGTTATTAATTGATGAAGCTGCTGCTATACCCCTGCCATTGGTAAAGAAAATGATGGGTCCTTATTTGATTTTTATGGCTTCGACTATAAACGGTTATGAGGGTACTGGAAGATCATTAAGTTTAAAACTGATATCACAATTGCAAAAGGAGAATAATGCACCACCACCGGTAAGCATAATTTTAACAGAGACTCTAGTAAAATTGTTTTCTAATAAAATACTTTTTTTTAATTTAGATCAAACTGGATGAGTCTATACGTTATACGGAGGGAGATGACATTGAGAGCTGGTTGATAAATCTCTTATGTTTGGATGCCACCAGTACAGTACCAAACATTAGTTCTGGTTGTCCCACTCCGGATGCTTGTGAACTTTATTATGTAGATCGCGATGCTTTGTTCTCTTATCACAAAGCAGCCGAATCATTTTTGCATCGTTTAGTCTCCATATATGTTTCTTCTCATTATAAAAACAGTCCCAATGATTTGCAAATGATGAGTGATGCTCCAGCCCATCACTTGTTCTGTTTGTTGGGACCCATACAAAGAAAAGATCAATTGCCGGAAATATTGGTGGTAGTGCAAGTGGCGTTAGAAGGTGAAATATCTTCACAAACTATAACAGACTCTTTGGGTAGAGGCAGAAAAGCCAGTGGAGACTTAATACCGTGGAATGTATCAGAACAATATGGCGATAGAGAATTTCCTAAATTGGCTGGTGTGAGAATTGTACGCATTGCTACACATCCTAACTACCAACGAGTAAGTTTTTAAGTTCTATTTAAATACTAAACTGTTAGGCTAATTCATATGTTTATTCCTTCAAGATGGGTTATGGCAAAAGAGCGATTAAACTGCTGAAAGATTATTATGCTGGTAAATGTACAGACTTAAATGAACAGATTAATGAAGAAGAAAATGGCATTGAAGAGGTAGAAGAGGAACAATTAGGCTTGTTGAAGGAACAAATACGTCCAAAACGCAAGATACCCACTCTATTAAAACGTTTAAATGAAAGATTACCTGAACATATAGACTATTTAGGAACTTCATATGGCTTGACCCAGGAATTATTAAAGTTTTGGAAAAATATGGGTTTTGTACCAGTATATCTAAGTCAGAAAGCCAACGATTTGACTGGTGAACATTCCTGCATAATGTTGCACACATTAGACAAATCAGGTTTAAATCAAAAAATAAATGCTGAATGGTTGAGTCTTTACTTCAACGACTTCAGAAGACGTATCTTAAAATTATTAAGTAAATCTTTCAGAGAATTTCCCACAAGTCTAGCACTTTCATTATTAGACAACAAATGCGTAAAAATTGAAGTGGATGAACTGAATAAGCAGATCCTAGACACTTACTTTTTGCCACACGATTTACAACGTCTCGAATCTTATTCACGCAATCAAATCGAATTCCGTTTGATTTTAGATCTAACGCATGATATAAGTTATTTGTATTTCCAAGGTAAACTTAACGATCTACAAATTGATGCTTTACAAAAGGCCATACTTTTGGCTATGGGCGTGCAAGGTAAAACTGTAGATGCCATTGGAGCTGAATTAAATATGCCCGGAAATCAAATATTGGCCAAATTTTATGACATAATTAAAAAAACGTCGAAATATTTCTCCAATGTCATTGAAGGCCACATAGAAAGCACAATGGTCAGTGAAACAAAACTTAAGAGAGGTGAAGACTTTGAACCCATATCTTTGTCACTCAACGAGGAGCTGGAAGAGACCGCCAAACAAATAACGAAAAAGCAAAAAGATGAACTTAAACGACTTAAAATGGAAAGTCTTAAAGAGTTTGCCATTAAGGGCAGCGATGAGGATTGGTCAAAGGCTTTATCGGGGAAAGAGGGCAAATCTAAACTAATATCGGTTAAGAGGTTTGTTATTATTATTTTAATTTAATTTAAAAATTTGTCATTTACAAATTTATGTTTTATTTTATTTCCAGTGGTATTAAACGCTTGGATGAACCATTAGAGTCTCCAAAATCTGACAGTAAAGAACCCAAAAAGAAGAAAATGAAATTTGGTAAAAAATCATTAAATAAATCAGTTATTTAGGTTTATAGATGTGTAATATATACAATATTTTTGTATATAAAAGAAATGTTTATTAATTATAAATTTAATTTTTAAATGTGAACTAAACAATAAAAAAATATATAAATTTTAATTTAAATTATTTTGTGATTTGTGTGAATTATTTAAACAATTTATTTTATAGTTAAAATATTCTTATAGGGAATTTTTTGCATCTACGAAAAAAATTATTTGGAGAGAACACAATGAAGCCAAGAGACTTCCTTCCTCCTTGGTGCTATAGACTGTAACGCATATTTATTGAAATTTGTCTTTGTAATTGCGATCTGTAGCACTAATGTTTTCATACAAACCTCTCAATTGTGGTGTAGGGTATAAAACATGATTTGTTGTTTACTATATAAAATATAAAATTCATAAAAATGGAGAAAAGCTTTTCACCATGGTTTTCTCAAAATGTTTAAACTCTTAAGAACACCTTTTCCAATGGTTTATTATAAGGGGACAATATTATTCCAATGGAAAAATCATTCGCTCCCCTTTTTAAGAACTTATGGAATAATTTGTTAATTCTCCTTTCAAAAGAAATCAATGGAAATAAAATGAACTTTCTCAGTTCCAATGCACGGTTCATTATCGAAGGAAAATACTTCTTTAACATTCATCGAAGTAAATACCTATACACTAGGAATGATTTCCAGAAAACCAATGAAGTTCAATTCAGTTAGCAAATTACCATTGAAACTACAAGAACATTAAAAAAAGTTAAGCGCTTAAAGATATTTTAATTTTTTATATACATACAGACATTTTGTTGTTGTTGTGGCTGTAATGAAAAACGAATAGAAGGCATAGAATATAATTAAATTAAAAAAAGTATATAAAGAAAAGGAAAACGTAAAAAGATAAAATCCTTAAAATATTGTAACCACCTTGAGTGACAACTTAAAACCTGAGAATTGTGAAGAAACTTTTTTAGAAATTAAAATATTGTATATAGAAATATCGGAACATTTTCCATGTGAGTTCATATGATTGATTGATAACAGAAGTGTGACATTTTATTTAACTGTTAGTTTGACATAAAATAAAGTGTGTCTTTAGGCGCGCGCGTTGTTCTTTTTAAAAGAAGTGTGAGAATAGTGACTCTTCTTAAAATAACAATTCTCTTTAATGCAATAATTCTCTTAAAAATATAAATTTTTATTTAAGAGTGTGTAACATAAAAAAATTGTGGCATAATTTTAGGTAAAAGTCAAGACATATTTGTATTCAATATACAGTTTTCCTTAAATGTACTTACTTCTACGATCTTTTTTTAAGCAAAAGTAAGGCTTTTGTGTTAAGTGTTATTTTAAAAATAAAACAAATTCTTACCTAAACTAAAGATACAATAAAACAGTATTAAATAAATGTTATTCCCTATGAAGTGCTTTTTAATTATTAATAGAGCCCATGTGTGGTTTACAGTATAAAACACGAAATAGTCCGTCTCAAAAGACGTCCTTACGTTGGGGCGATAGTTGTGGCAATTAATTTGTTTATATAGCCAAACGAAAAAGTAAATTTTCTAACTACAAACGAGGCGTTTAAAATTATTCCTATTTCTTTGACTACTACTATATATTTACAAAAACAAAATTGTTATTATTATTACTAATAATACCTATTAACTTAAGCATAAGTTACCTGTCAAATGTGCTGTGTTTTTAATTTATTCAACTAAACTAAAAATATATTTTCTTTAACATACTAAAAAAATAATAAAAACAAAAAACGTTGCATAATTTTAAGCTGAAACTTGTTTTCCTCCATCTACCGATGAATAAAATAATTGCTGTTCAAAAATAATTTGTGCGCTTTTGGATTTTGCTATAAAATTTTCAATATCACCTAGTAAGAGGTAAGTAAGCTGGTATGTTTTCCTGGAAAGTATTTTTTCCAGTTCAATTTCCCATATCTTTTTTCCTTTTTATAATATACTGCGCATTTGTCAACAATTACAAAGTTTTGTGAATGAAATTTTTATTAACCAGACTTGTTGTTGTTGTTTTTTTTTTTTTTGAGAAACAACCGACAAATCAATTGGTGGTGAAAAGCAAATGAGAGGTTTTTTTTGTTTATACAGATTTTATTTTAGTCTCTTAGTTTTTGGTTTAGCATTAAGTTTTTAAAAGAGCATACTTCTAGGAACTCCGAAAAAGAAGTAAATTTTGTTGTATACCAAAAAGATAAAAGAAATAATCCTAATTTATGGATTTTTTTGTTATAAATAATTAAACATACATATATTTTGTGTAACAGATTAGATAAAATGTATTGTTTATAAATATTAATAATTGTTTGCCACAAAAAAGCATTAATATACATAAATATAAACAACTAATTTACGTACATACAGTTGTATGTATGTAACATGTCTTTTTTATGAAATATTTATATAACTTCTCATCTAAAGAAAAAATAATTAATATTAATTTAATTTTTAACAAGTAAGAAAGTATAGTCGGGCGTGGCCGACCATATGATACCCTACACCAGTTATGAATATTAAATGTGATTTATTTTTCAATAAAGCATTTATCTTCAATATTCCCTTGTTCCGATACATTTAAGCAATTTATGGATGAAAAACTAATTTTCTGAAAGAGGCTTTATATGGGGGCTAGGGGCAAATATGGACCAAGCCCGATAAAATTTTGTGAATATATTTATATTTACATAATATTTTATTCTGCTAAATTTCATCGCGATATTTGTGTTTATAAGTTAATTTGGGACATTCAAGTAATTTTCTGAAAGGGGCTTTGTATGAGAGCTAGGGTCAAATGGGGCCCGATCTTTATGAAATTCGGCAGGGTCATCAAGACTTCTATAAAACTTAGTTGTGCCGTTATATCTGTATATTTAACATAATTATGAGCTCAAAAGCCCTTTTCGGGGGGTTCTGTTCTATGGGGGCTAGGTGAAATAATGGACTGATTTTAACCATTTTCAATAGGCTTCGTCCTTGGGTCAAATAAAACGTGCATGCCAAATTTCATCCAATTATCTTGAAAATTGCGACCTGTACCTTGCGCACAAGGTTTACATGGACAGCCAGCCAGCCAGACGGACGGACGGACATAGCTTAATCGACTCAGAAAACGATTCTAAGCCGATAAGGTGGGTCTAGGACGAATATTTTTGTATGTTACAAACATCAGCACAAATCCAATATACCCTCCCCACTAAAGTGGTGTAGTGTATAAAAATAAGTATAATGGTATAATTCAAGTTTCCAAAATAAAGTCCACCTTACACATATACATATACACTCCTCGCCACTTGAATAGCACATACATGAATTTTTTTTTCAAAGCTTATATTTTTGGATCAGGAATTTCTGGAAACTTGTTTTCCCCCCCCCCCATTGTAATATTTTTTGTTCTGAATAAATTGTGATATGAATGATTGTCATATCTGTGATATTTGATTTTATATAATTTTTCTTGTAAATTAACCGAAAAAAGCTACTGTTAAAAATTCGCCACTTGAATAGAACATCCCCCCGAAAAAGTAATTTTATAGCAACTTTTGTAATTAAAACTTATTGATTTAGATTATTTACAACGATATAAATTAAACTAAGCTATTTTAGTAATGTGTTGAACCTCCTTGGTTGACTACCACTTCACAAATCCTGTTTGGACGTGATTCATATAGTTTGGTCATGTTGCACTGAGCTCCAGACTTCTTTAATTGCATAGATTAGTTCAGGAATTATTGAATACTGTTTTCCAGACTCATAGACTTTTCGGACAACCCATATCCATAAGTTTTCTATAATGTTTAAGTCTGGTGAATATGGAGGCCATCTCAACAATTCAACATTTTGGAACTCTATATAAGATTTTACGATCCAGGTAGTGTGGATCGGGGCGTAATCTTGTTGCAGGATCCAAGGGCTAGGTCCATATTGGTCATTGAAAACCGAAAAAAGCCTTTTTTATTAACCTAATGTAGTTTTTAGCATTTATTCTTGAGCTTAAAAACTGATGCTCGAAGGTGCCACAATAGGAAATTGCTTCCCATACCGTGACGCCACCAACACTCTTTTCATATATCGAAATCTCAAATTTATTTACGATCGGCCCAATAAAAATAACTATTCTCTGTTTACGAAATCGCATCACAGTTTTTATACCCTACACCACTTTAGTGGGGAGGGTATATTGGATTTGTGCTGATGTTTGTAACATACAAAAATATTCGTCCTAGACCCACCTTAAAGTATACCAATCGGCTTAGAATCGTTTTCTGAGTCGATTAAGCTATGTCCGTCCGTCCGTCCGTCTGGCTGGCTGGCTGGCTGTCCATGCAAACCTTGTGCGCAAGGTACAGGTCGCAATTTTCAAGATAATTGGATGAAATTTGGCACGCACGTTTTATTTGACCTAAGGACGAAGCCTATTGAAAATGGTTAAAATCGGTCCATTATTTCACCTAGCCCCCATACAACAGAACCCCCCGAAAAGGGTTTCTGAGCTCATAATTATGTTAAATATACATATATATCGATAAAATACGGCACAACTAAGTTTTATAGAAGTCTTGATGAACCTGCCAAATTTCATAAAGATCGGGCCACATTTGACCCTAGCTCCCATACAAAGTCCCCTTCAGAAAATTACTTGAATGTCCCAAATTAGCTTATAAACACAAATATCGCGATGAAATTCAGCACTTTAAAATATTATGTCAATATAAATATATTCACAAAATTTTATCGGGCTTGGTCCATATTTGCCCCTAGCCCCCATATAAAGCCTCTTTCAGAAAATTAGTTTTTCATCCATAAATTGCTTAAATGTATCGGAATAAGGGAATATTGAAGATAAATGCTTTATTATGAAAAATAAATCACATTTAATATTCATAACTGGTGTAGGGTATCATATGGTCGGCCACGCCCGACTATAATTTCTTACTTGTTTGTTTTGCCAAAGTTTTTACTTTAAGTAGTCCCACGGTACGTATGTTTATGAAAATTAAGAATATTAATCATACAACATTTAATCCTTTGCACATGGTAAATAAATCAGGCTATTTTTTCGAATTTTGTCCCTTTTAAGAATTTATATTCCTTTTTACGAAAGACAATTTTAAGTTAATTTTCTATAGCCTGACAAATTTTTGTGTAGAAGCGAACAGGTCAAAACCAACACACATTGAGGGAAAATACGGATGAAAAATTTGAAAGTCGTATGGCTCTCACTATTTTATCAGGGATGTATTTTTATGTAAACACACAAAAAAAGAAACTTTTGCTTTCATTCAGTTAAGTAAAAGACATATACGGCTGTATTTATAAAAACTTATTTTAGGTTTATTAAACAATTTTAGGCAAAATTCAGGAAAATCGTATTTATAAACGTGAAATAGCTTAAAACACCTTCAATAAACCATTGACAATTAGAAGAATTTTATTGTAGGCTCGACCCTTTTTTAAGCCAACAATAAGTTGTTTTTTTAACAATTTTTTTCTCAGATAAAGATTTTTCCGGTAATTTTAGGTTGATTGCGAAAACTAATTATGGTTTCTTTTAAAATAAAATCTAAAAATTCTAATTTTAACGTTTACAAATTTGTAAATAAAATCCCAGAAAATTTTTAAACGATTATATTTTGAGGAAAAAACTCAAGTCTAGGCATTATTGGATTAATGCATGAATATTTGACAATATTCCAATTGTCCAGCACTATTTTTAGGCAATTTGGAAATGCCCGTCTGTCAACCAAATGATGGACAAAATCATTTGATTTTGCTTTTTCAAAGTTTGTTGGTTAAATATAATGCCATAAAGTAATTAACCATGTAAATTATATTGATTAGTGTTATACTAATGCAAAATATATTCGCCGGCATTAAAATTAGTCAAATATCAAAGAAATTTATCAATATTTGGAAAAATTTATCAAAAATTACAAGAAAAATAAGTAAAAATAAGAAAATGTGTCATAGTGATGTATATTTTGTCGCAAAATATCCGTTATTCGGATACTTTTAATAATAATTAGAAATTATATGTTATATTTATACATCTGAACTGAATAGACATTTAGTAAAGCCATATATATATATTTATTTTTCTTAAAAATTTGTTTTTATTGTCAAAAATCTATTTTAAACAAAAATATGAAATTAAGAAAACCGAATCAACGAATATTTTATCCTAATTGTACGCAACACTAACACATAAAATGACAGCCATATTGTACAGTGCTGCCAACTTAAACATAAATCAGCACAATAGTTAATATACGTTTATTATTTGTTTATGAATATCACAATTTTATTAATCGTTTTTAAGGCTAAAGTGTGCTTTAACTATTGAGTGCATTAAAAGCAAAATAAGATTTTTTTATAAATACAAGCGATATTATTTAAATAAAAGTTTATTGCTAATTTATCTTTTTTCATAGAATTATAATTATTTTTAAATTTATGTTAAAATCACTCTCAGTTTTCAAACGCATATTTTAAAACTGAATTATTGTCACAGTGAGCTGGTACTTACATACATACATACGTATTTATTTATATAGTGCACTGGCATTTTAACATTTATTATTTATTCCTTTTTAATGGGGATTATTAAAGCTGTAGGCGGTGAACATTGTCCTTTTAGTGTTGCTTACAAATTGTTTTTTTTTATATCATGCTCTTTATTAAGGACATTTGACATTTAATATTATAAAAACAACAAGAACAACTAAAAATATAATATAAAGTACATAAATACAAATAAAATATAATCCAAGTAAGTTTCATTCATGAAACGTATAGGGCTATATAAAAGGGTCTTTAACTAAATTAATAAATTGCATTTTTTGATAGTACATAGTTTATTTGTTTGTTCGTTATTTTTTATTAAAACCACATTAACAAGGACGTCATTAGTACAGCACCTACAGTTGGTGGTCATTGTCTACGACAAGGTAACAAAATAAATAAAATTATAAAAGTTAATTGTACATGTATGTATGTACAAACATATGTAAATGAATTTATGAACAGATTTTGTAAAGGATAATGAGAATAAAAGCTTTTGGGTACTTTAGAGACTTTATATTCGTATTTACTTAGTAATGTTAGCTTAGAGTATAATTTTGTCCTGGAAATTATTGTTAATATTGTTAACAATTATTTTAATTACTTTCTAAGAAACTAAACAGTTGAGATTTACAGTGCAACAAATAATTTATTACGCTTTGGGTAAAATGGTCCTTGTAATATTATATGGCTATATAGTTATACGAAAGTACTTAAGGGATAGAAATGTACAAATTTTAGAACAACTCGATAGTTCTTAAACGAAGTGACATATAAAGTTAAAATAAAGTAAACCTCACAGAATAAGGCAGGGTCCGAACTTTTTTAGTCATTTAAAAATCATTGTAAAATTTATGATGTAATATTTCATTGGATTATTAAAGAAATTTAGTGAAATACTTACATACTAGATTTAACGTAAAAATGTAATATTGTCTCCATTCATTTTCTAAAGGGGACTTTGTATAGGATTTAGGGTCAAATGAGGCCCGATCATTACGAAAATCGGCAGTATTATTTAGACTTAACATAATTATAAGCCCAAATGTCCTATCCTGGAGTACGGTTGTAAGAGGGCTAGGAATAATAATGGACCGATTTTAACTATTTTCGAGTTATCTTGAAAACTGCGACAGCGTGCGCACAAGGTTAATATGGACATACAGATAAATCGACTCAGAAAGTGATTCTGAGCCGATTGCTATACTTGGAGGTAGCTGTAGGATAAATATTTTTGGGTGTTATAAACATCAGCAAAAAAACATAATACGGTTGTAAGGGGGCTAGGAATAATAATGGACCGATTTTAACTATTTTAGAGTTATCTTGAAAACTGCGACCTGTAGCGTGCGCACAAGGTTTATATGGCTACACAGATAAATCAACTCAGAAAATGATTGACCAATTGGTATACTTTAAGGTAGCTGTAGGATAAATATTTTCGATGTTATAAACATCAGCATAATATCCCACTATAGTGGTGTAGGATATAATAAAAATTTTTAAAAATTTTAAATTTTTCCGAAAAAATTTCAATATTTTGATGATATTTAATTGGAACCGCCTCTCAAAGGCCTTTCAAATGATATAAAAATAGCGTGAAACATGAAAAAATTGTAAAAACCTTAAAAAGGATAATTTGTCCTTTGTTACAACACACTAAATATTGATCCTAGTACAAAAATTTGGAGAAACTGTATTTTGAATGAACCAAGCTTTACTTTTCGTGGCAATACGAAATCGTAGGAATTACAATAAGCGAGATAAAAAACTGATTTTTGTAACCTTTGACCCCCAATATATCGCTTAGCTTACATGGGATTAATGGTGACTTTCAGTCCCTTTATTAAGACACTAAGACAAAGTCCTACACCAACGTTTATGAACAAAATTGTTGAAACAAAATTTGGATTCTAAGCTAACCCCATGAATCATATTTATCTAGATCCATTACAAAAATCTTTTGTAAAATTTATAAATATTGTTTTGTCGATTTGAACTGTGATATTTTAAAATTATTTAAAAAAATTAAGACTACAAAGATGTTACCTATTACATTTTGCCTCAGATTTTTAGTGCAGCGTAAATTGTATTCGAATATAATTGATTTTTTATTCAACCATCTTATTTTCTACTTGAAATATACATATTGTATAATTCTTTTTGTTTTCTTTACAGATATTCTTAGTTGATGCTTATAGAAACGACGAAACTACGATAAAAACACTAAATAAATCGAAGTGAAAGAGAAATTTTGTGAAGTATAAAAATATAGTTAAGTAAAATAAACAAATTGCAAACGAACTCTTCACATTACTAAATGTAACAACAAAGTATTAAAAAAAAATAAAACTTAAATAAAAAAACTAACAAACATTCACTAGATTCTAAGAAAAACAAACGAGTAAATAAATTTAAATCAATTATTTATTATTGATTTGGGCGAAACACTAAAAAACACAACCAACTACAAAAGAAAGAATAAAAAGTGGACTTGAGGAAAAAAGTAAACAAAACTAAAAAATATATCAACTAAATAAATACTACTACACTACTTTTACTACTACTACAAACTATAATTATAATAAAAAACAACAACAGTAGCAGAACTAAATAAATAACCGCAGCAAACAAAACAAAAAAAGAAGATTTTTATTGACAGAGAAGGTTAAAAATACCACAATACGTTTGTACAAGGATTGAAACAACAGAACCCTCAACCACCCCCTCTAAACCGCCCATACAACACAATTAAAGTAACGTGTTTCAAGGTTTAAGGAAAAACTAATAAAATAACAAAATCGCAAGACTCTTACTGTGTGAGTGAGAGCGTTTGTGTGTGTGAAACTTATTTGTTTAGAAGGGAAACAACAATAACAACTACAACTACTACTACTAGAACTACCGTTAGACACATACAACATGATTAATATAGCTGGTGTTGTGAGTATTGTGCTCTTTTATTTGCTCATCTTATTTGTGGGTATTTGGGCTGGTCGTAAAAAGGAATCCGGCAATGATTCTGAGGAGGAGGTCATGCTGGCTGGCCGTTCTATTGGTCTTTTTGTTGGTATCTTTACAATGACCGGTAAGTGCTTTTGAATATATCAGATATAATGATAAAAATTGCGCAAAAAAAAAAACAAAATCCTAAACATAAAAGATTCATTTATTACAACACAATATACATACTACTAAAAATATACACCATTCTTAAGAAAGACTTACAATTTGATCTATTATCGAAAATGTTTACTATTTTGGATGTGAGTGTAAAAAAAAAAATTTGCAGCAAAATGATGGGGGCATATTGATTTTGTCAATTCATTTGTAACTTATTTGACAAGAACATATTGGACATAAACAAAATGAACGTTGCCGATTTTCCCTTCGAAAATTAATATTTAGTTTATTCTAAGACACCATTTCTCAAATATTTTGTTCTGACGTCTACAAATACTACAAATGCTCCTTATAGGTAAGGTTTGTTTGGTATTACAAATAAGTAATATCGGTGCACGTTTTCGCAAGGGCTGAAAATATCCACAAATATTTCTTATAAGTAAGGTTTATTTAGTACTAGCTTTACCTGCAATAGTTCTCTAGATTTACAATATGTTACATATTAGAGATGCCAAGCAAATTACTGAAAGTTCGCCAATTTATATCTATCTATGAAAAATTTGAATAATATAATAGTTTCCAAGATATACGAAATTTTGTATTTAATTCATTTATGTGGTGCCAAGCCCCCAATTGAAAGCTCGCCCGTTATTCTCTAAATGTTCACATGAATGTCAGAGTTTTTTATGTAAAATTTTAAGATTCTAGCTCTAATAGTTTCTCAGATATACAATTGTTCTATTTCATTCATGTGGGGGCTTCATGCTCCCCAGATGAAAGTCCCATCTTTTTCCTCCAAAATATTCAGATGATTATTGAAGTAATTTCTGCAAAATTTGAAGAATCTAGTTCTATTAGTTTCCCAGATAAGCGAAATTTTATATTTAAGTCATATGGGAGTTGTCAAGTTCCCCATTGAAAGTCTATTTAATTCATGTGGGGGTTTCAAGCCTCCAAGATAAAAGCCCGCCCTTTTTCCTCCAAAGTGTTTAGATGAATATTAAAGTAATTTGTGCAAAGTTTGAAGAATCTAGTTCTATTAGTTTCCCAGATAAACGAAATTTTGTATTTAATTAATATGGGAGGTACCAAGTCCCCCATTGAAAGTCCGCCCATTATACTCTAATTGTTCAGATGAATGTCAAAGTTCTTCAAGTAAAATTTGAAGATTCTAGCTTAATAGTTTCTCAGATATACGAATTTTTCTATTTAATTCATATGGGGGCTCCAAGCCCCCCCCCCAGATGGAAGTCCGATCTTTTTCATCCAAAATGTTCAGACGAATATTTAAGTTCTTAGTGCAAAAGTTGAAGAATTTAGTTCTATTTGTTTCCCAGATAAACGAATTTTTGCATTTAATTAATATGGGAGGTGCCGCTCCCCTCATGAGTAGTCCGCCAATTTATTTCCCAAAATGTTAACATGGATGTTAAAGTTATTTGTGCAAAATTTTAGGATTCTAACTGTAATTGTTTCTAAGATAAACGAATTTTTGTTTTTAATTTATATGGGAGGTGCCACGCCCCCTATTGCTAGTCCGCCCACTTTTTGTCCTAAATAATCATATTGACACTAAAGTGGCTCCGACAAAATTTGAGGACTCTAACTGTTATATTATCTCAAATATACGGATTTCATATTTTCTAATATGGGCGTGGCACCTCGCCCACTGGAAATTTCAAAATAAAAAGTAGCCTATTACCTATTCCAGACATACAGGAATACGCTGTGAAAATTTCAAGAAAATCGGTTCAGCAGTTTTGTAGTCTATAACGTTCAAACATACAAATATACAAACAAACACACATTCATTTTTATATATATAGATTGCAAATAGGTATATATAGTCCCCGAAATATAGCTTAAATAGTCAAAAAAAATTTAATTAGGTAGTGAATGTACTGAAATTTTGCACAAGTTAGTTTTATGTACACAGAAATTCTGTAAAGTGTGGCGCAATATGATTTATCCTATCCCATATAAAAGGTCTCAGTATAGCGACAAAATTTGACGTAAGCAAGTTTTAATGCAACGTTACTCTACATACCTAATTTTATGAAGATTTGAACTTACCACCCAAAAAGCTACAATTCAGAAAATTACTTTAACGCTTATAAATAGAAGGTAAGTTCTATAAGAACATAAATTTCATAAAAATCTATCCATATTGGATCATATAAGTTTTACTTCAGAAAATGACTTAAACGTTTATAATCTGCTTAAAAGTCATGTACATATTGTAGATAAATTCTATGTTTTATAGGATCGAAAACTCATCTAAAAAATTTTATGTAGATCGGTTCTTAATTATTCCTATCCTCTTACACTTAAGTATTTATTCGGCATAGCCGAATATAACACTCTTAATTGTTCAATACTAATTTTCTACCCGATCTTGTTTTAGCTATTTAATTAATATATATCTTGATTCGATTTTAAGCCAATATAGCCAAGTCCGTTTGTCTGTTGAATGGACAGTAGGGTCCGAAGCTACACAAACAGATTTTGAAGAGTGGAATTTGTAATATCAGAGATTTAATTAAATATATTCCATGGAATTGGCAACTCTTAACCATCCAACACACACACACACATTTGAAATCTTGATAAAAACACACTCTGACATTCATATTTAAATTCTATTTACAGCAACCTGGGTAGGTGGCGGTTACATTAATGGTACAGCAGAAGCTATTTATACCTCCGGCTTGGTTTGGTGTCAGGCTCCCTTTGGCTATGCCTTAAGTTTGGTGTTTGGTAAGTTCGAAAGATATTAGTATAAATGATGGTCAATTCACATGAACATTTAAACATACTCAAGTATAACATACATTCATATTTCGTATAATTAATTTGCTTTACAGGTGGTATATTCTTTGCCAATCCTATGCGTAAACAAGGTTACATTACCATGCTGGATCCTTTGCAAGATTCGTTTGGTGAGCGTATGGGTGGTCTATTGTTTTTACCCGCCCTCTGTGGTGAAGTTTTTTGGGCTGCTGGTATTTTGGCCGCTTTGGGTGCCACACTTTCTGTAATTATTGATATGGATCATCGTACATCGGTAATTTTGTCCTCATGTATTGCCATTTTCTATACACTCTTTGGTGGTCTCTATTCGGTGGCCTATACGGATGTCATACAATTGTTTTGTATTTTTATTGGCTTGTGGATGTGTATACCGTTCGCTTGGGCCAATGAGCATGTAAAAAGTTTGTCATCAATGGATGTTGATTGGATTGGTCATGTGGATCCGGAGCAGAGGTGGTTTTATATAGACTATGGGCTGTTGTTGATATTTGGTGGTATACCGTGGCAGGTGAGTTTGAATTGATTAATTTAAATTTTAAATTTAACATTATTATTAATTTTACCATCAGGTATATTTCCAACGTGTTTTATCCAGTAAGACTGCAAGTCGTGCACAAATTTTATCCTATGTAGCTGCAGCAGGTTGTATTCTAATGGCTATCCCACCGGTACTAATAGGCGCTATTGCCAAAGCTACACGTATGTTCAAAAACTTGCAATCATTTTCCAAAATTTTTTAATTATTTTTTTTTTTCAAACAAAAACTGTAACTTTTAGCTTGGAATGAAACCGATTACACTGGACCTTATCCTTTAACAGTGCAAGAAACTAGCATGATTTTACCCATGGTATTACAGTATTTAACTCCCGATTTCGTATCGTTCTTTGGCCTGGGAGCCGTGTCAGCTGCCGTTATGTCTTCAGCTGATTCGTCTGTTTTGTCGGCCGCTTCAATGTTTGCACGAAATGTTTATAAGTTAATATTTCGTCAAAAGGCTTCCGAAATGGAAATTATATGGGTGATGAGAGGTGGTATTATAGTTGTGGGTATTTTATCGACCATAATGGCCTTGACTATACCCTCGATCTATGGTTTGTGGTAAGTAAAAAGCAAAAGTGTGTGTTATGGATGGAAGTGTATATTTTATCATATATTTCCAGGTCCATGTGTTCCGATTTGGTCTATGTGATATTGTTTCCACAACTCTTGATGGTGGTACATTTCAAAAAACACTGCAATACCTATGGCAGTTTAGCGGCTTATATTATAGCACTTTTCATACGTCTATCGGGTGGTGAGGCTTTATTGGGTTTACCCGCCCTAATACATTTCCCCGGTTATGATGAAGAAAATCAAACGCAACTATTTCCCTTCCGTACAATGGCCATGATTTTAAGTTTGATTACATTAATTTTGGTTTCATGGTGGACTAAGTAAGGATTTTTTTTACAATTTATTTTGTAAATGGGTTATTTATACATACCGTGTTGTTTTTAGAATGATGTTTGAATCCGGTAAATTGCCACCCAGTTATGATGTGTTCCGTTGTGTGGTGAATATACCAGAAGATGTGGTTAGAGTTGGTGAACCAGCCGAATCGGGAGAGCAGGTGAGTGTAATAACTGCAAAGAAGTAAGAAAAGTGTGAGGGGGTTTAAATCAGATTTTCGTTATAACTTTGAGTACCTATAACTATTTATACCCTACACTACTATAGTGGGGAGGCTATTATTAAGTGATACACCCACTTAAAAGCATACCAATCGGCTTAGAATCACTTTATAAGTCGATTAAGCTATGTCTATATTTGCGTCCGTCCGTGTTTCTACGCAAACTTTTTGCGTATGCTTTAAGTCGCAATTTTGAAGATAGTTTGAAGACATTTGGCGCATTTTTTCACCTAGCCCCAATACATACATACATACCTTCGAATAGGACTCTTGAGCTCATAAGTATGTTAAATGTTCTAGTATTTCTATAAAAATCGGCACAACTTAGTTTTGTAAATGTTACTGCCAATTATACATCCTTACTTGCTTATGTACTTAAATTTTTTGTTCTATTCTTTAGCTTTCCGTCATGGCTGGTCCATTGGCACGATCATATGGTGCCGCCACAATGGCGGGCAAAGATGAACGTAACGGACGCATTAATCCAGCATTAGAAACTGACGACGATGATCTTCCCATTAACGAAGCAAAACGATTAAATCAACAAACGGCACAAGAACAAGTACAAAGAATGTTAAGCAGTGCCACCGGACAAAATCGAAGAGACAGTGATGACGAGGGTAGTGGCGGAGGTGGTGGTAATAGTGGTAGTGCTTATCATCAGGCTGGAGGAGGAGGAGGTAAGGCTGTGCCAACTGCTGAGCAAGACAATACTGCCTTTTAAACAAAATAGAAGAGTTAAACTAAAACAAAATCTAACTAACAAGTACACAAGTTAAACCTACACACCTTTTTAAAGAATTCAAAGAAAAAATTATAAAAAAAAGGAAAGGTGCTTAAACGAACAAAATAAACGATTTGAAACGCTCACTATAAAATAAAATCTAAAAATTAAATAAAAATTAAAAGAAACTAACTGTAGATTCTACACTAAAAAAGTCATACCTATAATAAAAAAAAATTATTGTAAAATTAATGAAATGAAACAAACAACAAATTTAGTAAGGATTTTAGAATTACATGCCCCTTAAGAAAACACTCTAGAGAATATTTACCACAAACCAAATTAAGTAGTAATTCTAAATTGAAATTCTGAAAAATGTGTGTAAATAAATATTTAAATACTCATTATCCAAAAAAAAAAAAAAAAAACAAATTAACAAAAAAAGCAATGTATTAATTGTATTATTGGAGTGTTAGAAAACAAATCCTTAGTTATCTTCCCTAAAGCTTATTCATTTAAAATTCAGCTTAGTTTTTTTTATACATAAAAAAGAAACACATTTTTATTAAGTTTAAAAAAGGCTTATATTTTAAATAAAATAGTTAATTGTTAAATATATGTATATGCTCAGGTATTCCCAAGAAAATGTTTGTTAAATATTGTATTTTTTTTATTTAAAAAATTATTTTTATTATTTTTATGTTATAATTAAGTTGCTAAATACAATTTTTTAATTAAATATTAGTTAAGATTTATTATATTTACACTTAGAGAATTTATATTTAAAAAAAAGTTCTATTTATTAAATGTTTTAATGTTGATAATTATTAATATATGTAAAGAAAAAAAGAAAGAAAGAAAAATTATTTAATATAGAAAAATTTGAAAACCAAACTATATTCACTAAGAACTTAAATATTTGCGATAAAAATTGAACCCTATACATATCAAATAATGCATTTGTGTATTCACAAGTAAAACAAAAATATAATAAAATAATTAAGAAATATTAAACAAAAACTATTAAAATGATTAAAAATATATACCATTAATATTTTATGAATAATTTTTAATAAAAAAAAAACTATTTATAAAATTAGTTTATTTTAATGATTTTATGAATTTGATTTAAAAAAATTTAAATTTTATAAAAAGTTGTTAAATGTGTATTAGGCAAAATATGAGCATTAACAGTTCAGTTGATACAAATGAACTTTGTACCAGAAGAAATGCCAGAAATTAACATTTTTTTAAACTAATTTAATTAATTTAACTAATATTTTTCTGAAAAAGCGATCATTGCTGATTTTGTAAAATTTTTTAGAAAAATTTAATAAAAATAATTTTTTTAAATTATTTTTGATTTTTTTTGTGTTTACTACTCACTAGTTGCAGAAACAAGTTTTTTCCCAGTTTTCTTTTACTTTCTTTTATTATTTAATTTGTTTCCTTTGAAATAAAGAAACTTCAATCAAATTCTCCAAACATCGATTCATAATTTTTTAAAATTTGTAAATTACATAAAATCCTTCCAAAAAAATTAACTAAATAGAAATCTAATTCAAACAAATTTTAACCAAAAGTAGGTTATAAAAACCTTAAATATAATCTACAGTTACCAAATACATATCATTAATTGAAAAGAAACTGATAAATTTAATTAAATATAAAAGAAAAAGCAAAAAAAAAAAAAACAAACCAAAACATATCATTTTAAAGTAAAACTGAAAGTAATCTATTATATATTAGAGATTTAAGTGTATTATATTACATACATATATCAGAAATACCCTAAATTATACCAGAATATTGAGGCCATTAACCTATAAGTGGCACTTATATACACATACATACATAATTGTGGATATATTTTAAAAAGTTATTAACATTTATAAAAATAATATATTGTGTTACAGAATTTATAAATAAATTAATGAACTCTTAAAGAGTTCAATAATTAAAGGATAAATTTATAGAAAATCTATATATATCAAAATTTAACTAAATAATGGTAAAAAGAGTCAATTTATTAATAAAATAATTAACATTGATTTTGAAAGTTTTTTTTAATATTTTTTTTAATTAATATTGCAGAAATAGTTATTCCTAATAACTGATCTGAATTTCTGCAATTTAATTTTGTGAATCTATAAAGTTGTAATCGTAAAAACCTCAATGAATGTACCTTTTTATCCTCTGGTACAGATCACTAAATATTGAAGTCCGGACAAAAGAATATCTTATAATGAACTAAATTTTGATTTACAGAATTACTTTTTAATATATCGTCGCCCGGGGATTTAAGTGCTCTATATGCCAAAATATTATAACAGAAGAATATATTGAAAAATATTAGTATTAAACAATTTTAACTCCATATTGAGCAAAATTTTCAGCACAAATCAATTTCAAGATTTTGTATTGAAATTTTGCTATATATGCCATTAATTGGCGTATAGAGCAAAATGACACAAAAAGGTTCGAAAACCTATAGATGCGTCCTTAACTCAAAATTGTCAAAATGGCGAATAGAGCACTTAAACACCCGTGCGACGATATGGGAAATTTCGTGTCAAGTGACCCAACTTTTAAAATCGATGTCTTCCGATTTGGATGAAATTTTACGATTTCCTTTAAGGGATATATAGTCGCATAATGAGATGCGATTGGAATGTCTATCAATTTTTTTTTTTAACTCAAGAATACATTTTTTTCATTATTTTCCCCTTTTTGTTGTATTTTTTTTAATTTGATCACCTGAGGGTTTGTAAAAACTTTTGAAACTTATCTGATATCTCTTTTTTTCTCTATCATCCACAATTTTCTCGCAAAATGGCACTGAATATTTTGTTCATATATTACGGACATTTTATATAATTATTAAATTATATTTACGTTTAAGGGTTAATTTCAATTTTTTCAACGTCATCATAAGAACGGGTCTTCATTATAAATTTTTCCTTATTTTCATTTAAATCGATTGAAAACAATATTTCACTATGATTTCAAGAAAATATTCCAACATTGCATAGCTTGAGTTTGACCTTCACAGTTTATGGGTTAATATTATACGATTTTACTAATACTTTAGATGTATGTTTCCTATTATCTTGAATTTTATATTCTGAAAACATTTTATATAAAATGCATAACAGTAAGGAATTAAGGCTAATGTTCAAAACTATTACCCAAAAATAGTTTTCCCCGAAATCCTTAAAATTTAAATCACAGATACCGCTAATATGTTGGAGATATTGACCTAATTTCTTTATTATTTTATTCTTTTCTTCATTGTTCATAAGTCACATGGAGATTTTCTTAAAATTTTAAAATTAGCTTAACAAAATTCTTATATGTTTAAAATTGGAATTTTGAAACTGCCGTGTGAGAGGTTTCCCATTTATGACTATACCTCAAATACGGTTTACACTGTCTAATGAAAATTAAAACTCACATTTAAGTTAATACGCATATATTTAATGTAAAATGACATGGTTTTATTGGAATATTTTCCAAAATTTGTTAATTTTTTTTTTAAAATATTTCTCATTTAAGTGTTTTGTGACATTAAATGATCGGAGGAATTTGTAATAACTTTTACAATTTTTAACCGATTTTTGTGTTATAACTTAAAGGAACGATAGTTGTATATACATATATTCCAATTATTTGCTGTTAAGATTCAAAAACATACATTTAGTGCTAACATTTTTGTAAAAATCGTTTTCGACTTCAGAACCGTGGTGCCACCAGTTAACGTGATCCTATCGTGTTAATTTTTTTCCAGAATGCTTTTCAATAACCCATAGTATAAGTCTAGAGGCAGAGACGGTGCCACCAGTTAACGTGACCCTATCGCGCTAAATTTTTCCAGAATGCTTTTCTATAACCCAAAGTATAAGTCTAGAGGCAGAGACGGCCAATTGCAGAATTTTATATTTGACACACAAGTATACAGTAAGAAGAGCTAAAAGATAAAAATGTGGAAAATTTGTGGGTGATACGACTTTTTTTATTTCCATATTTGGAAGCAATTTAAAAACTTTTTTCATTGTTGACCTGTGTAATTTGATATATACATTTCCTGGAGCATTTTTGCAATTAAACATTTTAAAAATGTTTTGAAATCAATGTTAATAAAATCAATTTAAATCAATAGTAAATTTGAAATTTAATACAAAATTGTAATATTAACAGAAACTACAAAAAAAATATAAAAAAATGACATCATACTGTATGACAATGATTGAACCTAATATGAACAAACCGAAATAGCTTGTTGTAATTTATAAACGTATAATAAATGTTATTCATAAATAAAAAGAGTCTAAATAATCCCAATAATTGTCTAAAATAAACTCCTTATAGAGCTGCCTCAAACAAAACTTTAAAAAAAAATTAAAAATACAAAGCATTAAATATAAAAAAATCTAACTAACAAATTGATTCCATATACATATCAAATGAGATCTTAAAGATACTAAACTATAAAAAAGATATATTAAGTATTGATAATATAAACTATAAAGTTCCGTTCCAAAAGTTCTATGTTTTTTGAAAGTTTATTACGTTTTTTTTTTAATTTTCTTTGTTGGATATATTTATATATATAAATGTATGTGTGTTGAAATATTTTTTCTTGAAATTGTTATTATTCAAAATGAAATCTAACGTAATGAAATGTTTATTATTAAAGTTTAAAAATTTTATTCAAAACTAATAGATTTTTTTACATAAAATGTTAAAAACAAAAGATATTTATATTAAACAAGATTGACAGCCAGTTTTTATAAATATATATCAAATATTTAACCGATTTATAAGAATTATTTTTTTTTTTAAAGAAATCTTAAGGTGTTTTAATGCTTTTTTTCTTTCAAACTTAAAGACTTTTCATAAAGATTTACATTTAATGAAAAATATAACATAAATAAAAAAATTTTTATTTAAAATTTAAATTCATTTAATAAACTGTTCCTTGAGTTACTAATAAAATGAAAAATATATAAATTTATCTGTAAATAAATACCAAAATAAACCAAATATATAACAAATAAGTAGTAAAATAAAAAAAGGGAATAAAATAAGGATTTTATAGTGAAATGTAAGATGGGAAATATTGAAATGGAAATTTTTTTATTTCTATCTCTCATTTCAATATGAATCTATTTTTCATTAATTATACAGGATTTGACTAACAAATTCCCTATGGCTGAACTATAATAGACTTAAATAAATTTTAGTTACAAAAATTTTGTTCAAAAATCTAACTGTCACATATCATAGATATTTTTAGCGAGAAACTTAATAATAAAAAATATCACACAAAATTTGACTTTTCTTAAAAATGTACCAACCAAAATTGTAATTGTATTATACAAAAAGTCAATTAACAACTAACCATTCTACTTTGAGTTATAAACAAATGTATATACATAAACACAAACACACACAGACACAAAAACTCCCACTTAAGTCAATTATAGTTTTGCCTATTTTTAAAACTCAAAATTTAATATTTGTTGATCTTGTTGCATCAATATTGTTGATAAAATATTAGTTGAGTTTCACCTCCCCCCCCCAAAAAAAAAAAAAAATATTAAATAAAAATAATAAATAAAATTAACCACCTATTA